ACAGTTTGTTAAAGAAAGTTTCTCATTAGCAAGACTCAAAGAATGTAGTGTAATGATTGCATTAATGATTGCATCATTATCTGTCAATACTTCAGTTTCAAATATTCTCTTTTGTGCAAGATTAGCTTCAATCAAGTATATTTTTTTTACTGTCTTCTTTGTATGCAGACTGTTTGCATTACATGTACAATAGATTCTCTCCTGAATAGAAGAATATATTACATGCTTTTGAGGTTAAGGCTACACAAATAAGATCTTGAAACTGGAGTATTAATATACACAATAAAATGAAACTTTGTTGAGCTTTTAATAGGAAGTTTTGTTTAACAATGACTTCTTCAGTTAGATTTCTTTTAGAGATTTCATTAACTTGATGTTTAAAGAGAAGAGGTAACATGTGTGTCTAATAATTCATTCTTTATAAAGGTTGTCCAAGATGTCAGGTACTTTCAAAGRATCAAGTGGCAGTATATTGTTTTAGATGAAGCTCAGGCCATTAAAAGCAGCTCCAGTGTCCGCTGGAAGATTCTACTTGGATACCAGTGTAGGAATAGATTACTGTTGACTGGAACACCAATACAGAACAGTATGGCTGAGGTAAGGTGATAAATGGCTAAATTTTATGAAGGGCAAAATATTGCATTGATGGTGAGAATTGAGAAAATTGAAGTACAAGTGTAGAACAAAAAGACTAGATCAAGACAGACAGACAGACAGATAATTAAGTTTATTAAAGTGCATTACAACCCTTAAGCTTGAATTATGCTACTTTACAAAAGAAACATATGAAAAGAGCATTAGGATATATAATACTAATGATAATGTTGTACTAAAATATAACATTGAAGACACTGAAGAAATTAGTACACTGTATAATGTAAAAGGTGTGAATAGCTGTAGTTGCTACTGTACCTGTAAAGCCTGTTTTGCACTAGCAAATATATGGAAATGGAAAAGAAGATTTGTGAAGGAAGGTTCACATACTAGTATCAAAACCAACAAACAGTACAAAACAAGGAGTGTAATGAAAACCTTCCATTGTGCTTCTTTCTCCTTCACCGTTTCCTTTACATTAACAGATTCAATGTTATAATCATTGTCTTGTTACAGTTATGGGCCTTGCTTCATTTCATCATGCCAACACTATTTGACTCCCATGAAGAGTTTAACGAATGGTTCTCCAAAGATATAGAAAGTCATGCTGAGAATAAGTCCATCATTGATCAAAGTAAGTTGTGTTTGATTGTACAGTTTGCTATGAGATTTTACTGTAAATAAATATAAAGTTCATGCACGGTAAAAATTTCTTAAATTGATAACTGATAATCAGTGTTTGCGGACGTGTCATATGTTTGTGAACAGTCTGTTCGCGAAATTTCACACTCAAGTTACGAACAGATCGCGAACAAAGCGCGAAGCAGAACGCGTTCAGTGTTTGCGTTTTGTTCGCGAAATATGCGCGAACACAGTTACATGTGATTCTAGGCGGTACTTTACATGACATTATTAAGGCTGGCATACATTGGACACTTTTCTCTTAGAAAGTTAATTGGACTGTACCTGTAACATGAGTCATATGTTTAGAGTAACCTTATTTTTTTTTTAATTTCCAGATCAGCTATCTCGTCTTCATATGATCTTAAAACCTTTCATGTTGAGAAGAATAAAAAGAGATGTTGAAAATGAGCTTTCAGAGAAGGTACGGTATCTTTGTGTTAAATTTTCTTATCCATTTCACCTTAAGACCCCATTGTAAAACTTATTTAAAACAACCAAACAAGCTCAACTCATGATCAATTTATCTGGCATATGGTTGTGTAAAAAGAATAAATTAAACACCGTAAAAAAGTAGGAGAAGTAACTTACTGACGTTTCGGACGTTAATCCTTCGTCGGCATATGACTGAAAAGTAACTCAAACGTAGACTGAGGCAAACTGAAAGCCATTTAACACACAATAATATTATTATCTTTTGCCAATTTTAACTACATTGTTTAGATGCAGTCTTCATCTTTTTTACCGTAGATTGAGATCAAGCTAGTTTGTGGAATGACAACAAGACAAAGGTGGCTATACCAAGCCGTCAAGAATAAGATCTCCATTGATGATTTAGTCTACACATCTGCATCCAGTTCCTCCGCAGCCAATGCAACAACAAGCAGCTTGATGAATCTTGTCATGCAGTTTAGAAAGGTGAGAACTGAGATCAAATCATTTCAAATTGCATCCTCCGTAGGTAACACTTCATTTTGTGCTTTTGGGATCCTGCAGAGGCATTTATTTCTTTGCCGAAGTGAAAGGCTTTCTACGTCTCCTCTTTTATTTTTCTGGCGGGTGACAGTCTCCCGACAGTCTCCCTCGGTCATATTGAGGAAGACAGGAAGCTCAAAAGTAGAAGGAAGAGCAAAAAGGAAAGGAGATGACAAAAGAACCAAAGAACAGTGTAAATAAAGGACTAAATTCGTACTTAGGAAATTTAATTGCGGAACACAGGAAATGATGATTGCTTTGGTGATTTTATGAGAAATATTTGCTTATTGCTTTAGGTCTGTAACCATCCAGAACTGTTTGAAAGAAGAGATGTATATTCCCCAATATCCACAGTCCAGCTGTCCAGTTACTTGATTCCCAAGCTGGTCTATAGAGAAGGACATGCAGAACGAATGTTTCCAGGCTGTTCAAAGTGAGATATGAGATGATTCTAGTATGATGAGCTGCAAGTTTATTGWTATATCATTGATTTGGTTAAAATTCATGTAGCATTTTTTCGTTGCTTTRGAAAATATTAATAACTGATTAAGGAAGTTGTTGAAATATCTTAAAACTCAAAAAATATGTTTTCCATAATGCTAATGAAGTGCCTGTATTTAAATTTCAGGATTCTGTACAATACCATCAACATTTGGACGTCGAAATACATCGCYAATTCACTACATTCGCGCTYTCTTGGTAACCAGAACGGTAAATATATCAATCCTGAATTTACATTATAAAGTATGYTACGATTGGTCAAAGCATTAGCGAGTGAAAATTATCTTAGTAAAATGCTGTAATCTATGTATTTCCTCATTGATTGTTTTCAACCATTCCAGTAAGAATCAAAAGATGAAAGAACGGCTGTCATGTTGGAGGAATGAACTAAAGGGCGATCAATTAGACTTTTGAGAGGGGGGGGGGGGGATTTCCTGAAAGCCAGAATTTTGAAAAATCTCCATTAAAGCTTTTGAATAGTCAAAAAAACTATTGCAAGCACGCGCCTGAAGTAAAAAAAAAGTCGAATGGATCGCCCTTAATGAGAAATCATTTGTTGAAGTTCCTCCAAGATGGCCGCTGTGATGTATAGCCAAGTTTTGTGTAATGCTGCTCGTTCAAAGAGTTACCAAATGAGGTTTTTCTTAGTTCAGATGTCATTCAAAGCAATTGTGTTTTTGTTCTTTAGTTCCCGAGAGTCCATGTTTTTCCTTCTTGCCATTCATCAATGTTTCGCCAGAAGAAGCTGCCGCTTTTATGCAAAGAGGACTTACATACAGGTGAATAATGTTATCGCTACACTAGAATACAACACTGAAACCACAATAAAAAACTAAGCAATATACAATAGAAAACAAAGAAATTCTCACAATTTAGTAACGGATTCAATTAAAATGATTTTTTTTTTACTCTTTTAGGTTACTTTTACTTTTAATATTGTTGAGGGAAGTTCGACATTTGCACCACAGACAATTCTGGTCATTGAGAAAATCACACTCAAAGTAAGTATAAAATGACAATTAAAGTGGACGCCGTAAATCCGTGAAACAAATAATATTAATTATTCCTGTTAGTCATTATCACATTATAACCTCTATCGTATTCAAAAAAACTTCTCCCTCCAACTTGATAATATCAACAATCCATCTACATTTATCAACCAGGGTCCATGATGCTCCTTGAAATCCTTGAAAAGTCCTGGAATTTAAAACTCGTTTTCAAGGGCGCTTGAAAAGCCCTTTAAAATGGCGAAATCGCTAAAACTCCTGGAAAACTGCTTGAATCTCATGAAATTTAGCTTTTGGATTGGAATGTGAATATTTTTGRAAAACGCCACTGGAAACGTTCGCAAAAGTCAAAAAATATTAAACAAATAGTCCTTGATAATCGCCTTTATGTGGCTAAATGTAATTTAGGCTAAGTTAAACTCGAGGCCTGTATCCTAGCATGCCCTGCAGCTGTGGGGCGCCCCATAGCTTGCAGGGGCATGTGGTGTCTTCATGTGTTGTCGCGCGCACTAAGTCGCTCCATGTTGTTTTGATTCCCAACCCACCCTCCTCTTTGGTAAGTATACAATTAGGTAAGTATCCTCCATTGACTCTGTCAATGTGACTTGTGCCAGGTGGTGGACCGTGGTTTGGTTACCATGGATACCTCCTGGTCATGTCCGGTGGCGCGCCGGCATGACCGATTTATGGCACATATCTCCACACTCATCTGAGCCGATGAGTTTAACTGTGCTTAAAAAGTACTTGAAAAGTCCTGTAATTTTGTAGTGATACTCTGATCAACTTACCGTATCTCCTTTCCTTTGTCTAGACGTCTTGGAAGACAATCTTTACTTCTATGGCCAAGCCTCAGCACTTCATTCACAAATATAGAAACAAGTCCTGTGTTATCGTCACTAGTATTCACCGGTTATACCAAGCCCATACTGGCACATATAACACATCGTATACAACCCGTACTGGATGAAAAGGACCTCTCGCCCAAGAAGGCTGGACCTTCCAGGCCACACCCAACGTCACCTCTGAAACACTCCTCGTCGGGTCCATTTTCTCCACCAGGACATCATCATCACCACAAGCATCATCACAAGCATCATCATCATCATCATCATAGGCATCATCACAAGGGGGGACATTCTCCTGGTGGGGACCAGAAGGGATCTGTGTATGTGTACCCCGAAGGGTGAGTTAACATCTACAAGATGACTATATTAGCCTCAGACAACCTGTTATTACAAACACGATATAACAAACACTCTGTTATCACGGGAAGTAAATCTCCGGTCAAAAATACAGAGAAATGACCAAAAGTAACTCCTGCTATTACTGACTCTCGAAATGCGAAATTACTGACATTGTATGTGGTTCCGAATACACATTTTATTTGTGTTACAACGGACACACCTCGTCATGAACACATCGGCTGTACCTCTAAAAAAGAAGGTTAAAATCGCCCGGTTGATCCTGAAAATTGTCCCAAAATCTAGAACTAAACACCAGCCATTTCACGTTTACTTTCACCGAGAGGACTTTGATAACCTAAGGCAGTAAGTGGAACCATAAACCCAAATCGTCAAACAGGCAGCTTGGGTTTCAAGCTTTTGTTGCATTCAGTTATTGGTCCTACAAARTTGGTTTGTAGTGATTTTTCTTCTCGGGTTTTCCGGTATAGTATGGAAGCTAATATATTGTCATGAGGGTGTCCGTAATGCCGAGAGTCGACTCGCTATAATGATTATTGTATAATAATTGCTAATAATTATGGTATTTTCATAGGCATGCACACCCCGTTGAATCAGTTGGACTTCCAATGAGATATCCTCAGCAGAGAGACCTACAACCCACCGATGTACCTTCACTTCTGTTGACTTATATACCTAAGGTAAAAATATAAACTGTAGAAATGTGGAACGTTTCATGTTGTTGCCCTTTCGTGTTACTCTTGCACCTTGTCTGGTGGTGTAGTGAGCGTCAACCAGGGCAGATATAAAACTCTCTTTACTGTGACTGAGTAAACAAACCAATGGTTTGCTGAGAAAACAGATCTATGAGATACAGAGTTATGTCTGTTGAAATACATTATGGGCATTTATAAGAGCCATCCATGATGCGCTGCGGTCGTAACGTGATTAATGAAGTCATCTTGTAGCGTCTTGTGCAGATAAGTGAATGTGGCAGCTACCTTAGAGTCTTGTCAGTGAGATATGCAGCAAAATACCTTCAAATTTCTATTACATCCACCAATTTTAATGCGTCATCACAATATTTTCATTCAGATAGTTCATTTAGGATAACAGTTTTTTTTAAACTTCGATAACTTTTTATTTGGGATTCCTGTGTTAAAGATCGCGCGCTGCCATAAAGTGCATAATACAGTGTCAATCAAATCCTGACGTCACAAAGCGCTAATGAAATCAGATTTCTAAACTTTCAGAAGGAAGAGTTTGTTTGACTTTAGCTCTTACACTGTAATCACTGGTCCCTGCGCGCAGCCGATCTTGTTCAGTTCATCATAGAAACAGCTGCAAAAGAATTTCATTTGAAATTACTTCTTAACATCAAATTGCTTTCTTATTTTCAAGATTGTTGCTGGAAACAACCTAAGTTACTGTAGTGACAGAAGTGCTGCATACGAGATCGAAGACCTCGTCAACGGCGGATCAGAACTCAAGAGAAACCTACTTCTCTATGGGGACCCCAAGGGCTGCGATCTCAAGAAACTCAAAACTCTGCTCTTTCCTCCACTTCAGGGGGGTTTAGAAGGGAGCAGGCCTCCTAAAGGATGGTCATTTGTACAGATGCCTCGTAAGTTAATTCCCTTGGATATATTATGAATGTTCACTTAAAGACGCACGTATATGCGAGAGCCTTAGTGCGATTTTCTTACATACGAATGTAACAAGGATTAGTTACAGTCAGTCCCGTTAACATTGTTTAGCTGTAAAGACATAGCCCTAGCTTAAGCACAAACAACGCCTTATTTGGCAGCATGAACAAAAGATGTTTGTGATAACCTAGACGACAATGCAATGCAGAACGCTATCTAAGAAAAAATTCATTTGTATATACCGTGTTTTTAGTTGTTGTTGTTTTTTTTGCATAAAATATTCAACATTAAGTCCAAACACTTCGATAACATTTAATTCGCTATTTACAGGGTTCCCGCTATTCCTTGGAATCCTTGAAAAGTCCTGGAGTTGAAAACTCGATTTGCACGAACCCTGTATTTATCTAAAGTTTAGAATTGCGATTCTTCCTGGGAATTTTGATAGCCTTTTTATGCAAATGAGATTGTTGTTGTCTTTATGTCTTTACAAGTGAACAACGCTATTTCCCAAATAGGTCTTCTATACTCTACTGTGTAGACATCTCATGTAATGCTCTTCCAAACGATTCTCGACTTTCGATAGGGTAGATTTTGCATGAAGTTTAATTCGCTGTAGCTTCTATATAACATCTGCCATTTTGATATTTTTATCAATACCATGATGCTCTTCGCCGAAACACACATGACGTCATTAAGCGAGATGAGCATTATGTCACCATACTGTTGATAAACACGATTCGGGTAGATTAACGTTTTGTGCTTGTTGCTTGTAGGTCGTAGTGCACTCATTACCGACAGTGGTAAGTTAACTGTGCTGGATGGACTGCTTACTAAACTAAAGATGCAAGGACACAGAGTCTTGATCTACTCTCAAATGACAAGAATGATAGATATTCTAGAGGTATGCTTTAAAAGATCGCTACTTTTCTTTCAACTGCACACTTATCACATGAAGTGCATTTTCATGCAAACATAGCCTCTCCCGCTAGTAATTTTATACACAGGAAACCCAATAAAATGTTAATCAGTGATACGTTGAGAGAAGGTTATATGTAGGCAAAAAGATAACTACCATTTGTTGGCTTTTTTGTCTTTACTCATGTAAACTCTTCCAGTTTGTTCGGTCGAGGGACTGGAGATTTGATTCACGGGAGTAAAATTAGCAAGTGGCGGTTAGCGTTGACCGTTGAAGAAGCAGCGTTTACGCAAGTAACCGTTTACTTTACCTTGCGCATTTCAGTATAAGCCAGGAATTTTCAAAATTGAACACAAGAATGAAACGAATGGATGGAAAGGGAAATATATTTTTATTAACGATTTTCTTTACCTTCTATAGGAATTCATGACGTACAGAAAACACAAGTACATGAGACTGGACGGATCTTCGAAGATTTCTGACAGACGTGATATGGTAGCTGACTTCCAGAATAAGTAAGAAATCAATGCAAAGTGTTTGCGTTTTTTCATTTTACCTTATAARTTCTGGAATGGAAAAAAAGATATAATTCTATCTCTTCTGATTTCGGAAACAACAAATCTAGAATGTATTCTTACAAACATCCTGTACAAACCTACCCTGGCTGCGTTTTTGCAATGTCACGCTATGTTGACTCCCCTAATTAACATCTAGCGTGACGCTGATTGTGTGATGCTGACAGGGAGACACACCATTCGAACACATTTAACTAAAGTCCAACAATACTATCACACAAAAATAACAACAACAATGGCGAAMAATGTCACTTACTGTACTTTGATTTGCGAAATGCAAACGTTAGATATATTGTCATTTTACCCAGTTATAATAAGATTTTGCTCTTGTTTCTATTCCAGAAAAGACATCTTTGTGTTTCTGTTGAGTACTCGTGCTGGTGGACTGGGTATCAATCTTACAGCTGCTGACACAGTAAGTCATAACTGCCCTCCCCTCCCCTCCCTAGTTGTTTTTATTGATATCATAATCTTTTGTTGTTATTATAGGTTATCTTTTATGATAGCGACTGGAACCCTACAGTTGATCAACAGGTACGAACTGTCTTGATWTTGCAAACAAAATTGATTAAACAACGCAATAGTTTTACCATTTTTTTCTCATACAAACGAGAACATTTTTTAACTTCGTGTAAGACTAGTTGTTTGAAGGTCACCWTTCTATTGCCCTTTCGTGTTACTCTTGCACCTTGTYTAGTGGTGTAGTGAGCGTCAACCAGGGCAGATATCAAACTCTCTTTACTGTGACTGAGTAAACAAACAACTGGTTTGCTGAGATAACAGATCTATGAGATACAGRGTTATCGAATAGTCAACCATAATGCACTTTGGTCGTGACGCGGAGTTAATAGGAAAGTTAATGGAGTTAATAGGCCTTTTCTGAAGTACATGATAAAGAAATAAAGGAAAGTTATAGTGCTGGCAAGGAGGTTATTCCGAATGAAAGGCCCTATACTAGGGAGTAAATTCGGAAAAATTAGTTTTTTTCTGAAATAGCATTTCGCATTGCATTGTGGTCTAGAYTTGGTTGTTTGTACTAAAGCTAGACCACAATGCACTTTGATGTAGTATTTCAAAAAAAACGTGAATGCATGTATGACGACACAAGAAGAAGTGCGTCAGTAGGCTTGTCTCTATATGGTGATTTTAAATATTGTCTCAAACAGACAAACAGTTTCTCCGCATCATGCCCAAGTAAAATRTAAAATWAAYTTAAWTTGTKGTCTGGTTTTTAGGCAATGGACCGAGCGCATCGACTGGGACAGACAAGGCAGGTTACTGTATATAGATTAGTCACCAAGAATACCATCGAAGAAAGAATYCTGCAGAGAGCAAAGGAGAAGAGTGAGGTAATAATAATCAGATCATGTGATCATAACATCTATGTAGCTAATGCTCTTTTAAGGCTCAATGGACAATAGACGATTTATGGGATACGCTGGTGCCTTCAAGAGATTTCGAAGGCCCGCGCATAAAAACGAGTTATTTTGGGCAAAATTATAAGCGACCTTCGGAACTCATGCGTGCCTGCGTTATTTATGAAAGCGCCTTCATATCGCGGAAGCCGTCTACTTACAAAATGTGCGGGTGCTCTCAAAAAATATCGCAGGTGYGCGCATGAAAAATACTTATTTTCAAGCGTAAATAAAGGCGAACTTAAAATCTGAGCACTCATTTAGCTCTTGGATATCATAATATGATTTAATATTACAGATTCAAAAGATGGTGATATCAGGCGGGCATTTTAAACCAGATGCCCTGAAACCCAAGGAGGTTGTGTCACTCCTGCTTGACGATGARGAAYTAGAGAGCAARTGTGAGTATAWGRARTRTTAGTTCTTGTAATGTGCGCTCTGATTGGTGATTTACAGATTAGCTCTTACATGCGCTCTGATTGGCGTTTTACAGATAAGTTCCTTACGTGCGCTCTGATTGGCGTTTTACAGATTAGTTCCTTACGTGCGCTCTGATTGGCGTTTTACAGATTAGTTCCTTACGTGCGCTCTGATTGGTGTTTTACAGATTAGTTCTTACATGCGCTCTGATTGGTCCAATCTACATCTAAAAATTTTCACATTCGGCAATATTCATTGGGTTACTATGTGATATTGTTAGGTCTCATTAACTAGTTTTGTAGCTTTACAAACACCAAGCCATGACGACGCCAAAGCTAACTGAAAACTCGGAATAGCCAACAATAGCAATTCATTGAAGTTTTGATTTTTTTAGTTCTACAGCGTCAAGCAGAAAAGAAAGCGGATGAGCAAAGAAAGAGAAGAGAACGGAAAAGAAAGAAAGGATTACCTGACGAGGTTAGTATACCTATGGTACAAACTTACACCTTAAATGGAAGTTATCGCCAACATCTCCGCCATCTTGAATTCTGTTGTTGTTAGTTCAAGAAACTTTGGGATGCWCGGGGCACTACTATACCAAGGAAAGTTGCTATTTCGAAGTTTTAAAAGCAATATTTMAAATTTTGTAGAACGGAATTCATTATCAAAGAAAGTAATTTTTCCGAGTAATTGTATTTGCGAATTTTTAAAAGCTCTTSACCCACTTGACATTCCATAATTTCTTCATAATTCAAAATGGCGGCCGTATTGATGATTAARACATTGAATTAATCTGTATCATTTCTTCTCCCTAGACGGACAGTCCATTACTTGCAGACACCCAAAGCACGCCACCTCCTAAGGCCAAGAAAGGACGTAAAAGTAAGAGCTCGTTGTTCCCACCTGCTCCCGAAACAGCGGCAACTTTGTCTGAAGTGGGCAGCATCAACGGATTGACGGCAGGTGACATGGATGAYAGCAGCGTCATGAGTTTTGACGAAGGTAAACACTTGGTTTATTCATTACCGTGTCCAGGCCGACGGGACTTTTTGTTTGTTTCTTTGTTTTTTTTCCACGTCGAAGTTCAGCGAACTGAGGGACCCTGGCTCGATCCTCGACACGAGCATGTCGAACTGAGGATRGTGGGTTCGATTCTCGACTCGAGTAGCTTTTCCTTTTTTTCTTTCTAAATGTAAAGTGACCTTCCTGCGAAATTTGAATGTAATTCGAATGCTAAATTTTCGCTACAATGATAAAAATGTCCTGAGGAAATGATGGGAAAAGATTCTATTAAATCATTCATGGCGTTGATAAAAATATATTCAACAGTAAAATTCTATACACTTAACGTAACCTGGACACGGTGTGTTCCACGAAGTTCTTGTTTATTTCTATTTTATGCTGTTATTCATATGTAAGAACTACAATGACAACTCAATTAGAGTATTCGCAAGACGACATCATTTGACAGCAAGCTATAACTATCCATTAAAACATGTAGTCTTGCAGTAACAATGTAATGTATGAAATGGTCTCTCAACCTACCAGAGCGTGGTTAAAATATATCACCACAAACTAATAAATTTGTCCACTTGCGTTCATCAAACGTTTACTCGATGCTGACTTATTTGATTAACCTTCTCTTTTACTTTTAATAGTATCTGTAGTTTCCAATGAAGGCTCGACATTATCGACAGATGTCAATCAAAGCAATGCAGCCACACCTTCCAGCGTTCGCCCAGATAACGATGACTCCATGACCATAGACGATCCATCCTCCGAAACAGCAAGCCCATCTACTGTAGAACCTCCATCTAAGCGCGGGAAAGGRAGAGGCAGAGGGCGTGGTCGAGCACGTGGATCGAGYATGAGAGGAAGAGGTACCGGACCAATACGGTTAGGTCGTGGAAGAGGACGWGGTCGTGGAAGCTCTGGAGCCCTTGCAGCCTCTGCAGCGGCGTCTGCGGCCGCAGCAGCAGCATCGGCTGCAGCCTAYGGAAAGTATGGGTTTACATTCCAAGGCACGCCGACACTGACTGCCACCCCTCCCCCCTCGAGGTCAAGTCCTGTGGCGTTCGGTGGTGGGTTATCTGGGAATTCTATAAGTCAACCAGTACCTCGTTACGATTCAGAATCTAGTAATTCAAATGTCACCGGTGAACAGACCTGACAATATTTGCTAAAATTTTATGTTTGCTCTACGGGTTAAGTAMCTCAGCGATAATGAATATCTCCCCTTCACATGCCTTCAGACGAATGAAAATACATTGCGATGGGGAGTGCTCTACAGAGTAGTCCTTTGATTCAATCAGAACGTTATTAAGCAACACATTTGAAACTTGCTACCGATGTGAATTTTTTAGTAATGGGGCCCAAAATCGACTTAAGTATATTCAAAATACTGAGTCGACTTTGAGACCCRTTAAAAAATTAGTAGCAGTAAGCTACCTGTGAATAGTTTTCTTAGCCCTTGTTCTTACTGGAACCTAGCGTTCGTAGCGTTGCTTTATTGAAAAAAACCAGCTGCGAATGTGGACCAGTTGCACTTCAGATTAATCTCATGGCTATCGGAGGTGACAAACAACTTCTTCCTATTTGGCAAAAGAATGTAGTATAAAGAATGAGTCGGTCATGTGAAATTTGTCGTTGCTTTTTCCGTTCTCCCTCTAGAAACTATATGACTTTTTACATTGGTATATGGAAGATGTCATTACACAGCAAGTTACATTGCATCTCACATGTTCTTTTTGCCAGTTTAAACGCCAAATCTCATATGTGCTAAACGTTTTCACTACTCGGCAATATCAACTCACCAGTTAAGATTATTTTCGCAAATGTGAAATTCGACGTTTGAACAGTTCCTTACATTACCTTAATTTCTTATGGGGAGATTCACTGAGTTAGAAACAGGAAATTACTTATTTAGTTATTGGAGAGTTGTTATACTTGGCCCTTGAAACTCGAAAAAATTGTTCTAAGTGCGTTTTGTTTCACGGGTTTTAATGACTTCGCTCTACTAAGTGATATGGTAGACTGGACGAACCTAATCCATGAAACACTGAAGTATTACTAATTCCTGTATGTTGATTAGACAAAGGAAAACAAAGGAATTAGCATAAGTTATTATTATTTTGTACTATTAAGTTTCACGGATTGTGTGCGTCGGCTCTACTGTCTAGTKGAAAGAGTGAAGTCATACCCGTGAAACAAAATTTGGCTATTTAAAAGTGATAGTCAAATAGACACAAAACAAAACAGAAAATTAGAGCAAACTAAGGTGTATTAGGGCAACATCTATTTCACGGGTTTTTGGATTTGAATCTAGCTTACTATTTCACGGGTTAAGCGTAACGATTCTATCGAGATACATTAATAGTACTTAAATGTGTAAATAATTTAAGAAATGCGGAGAGTTTTCTCCTCAACTTTCAAGTAATCTATTTGGGTATGTTTTATTRAAATTCTTGGAAAGCTGCCAATAGCTTTCTTATATTGTAAAAAAAGATTGGATGATTGGTAAAAACGCATCCATACCCAGATATTGTATGACTAAAGCATGCTTGAAATAAGGAAATAAATGTTTTTTATCTTGATTATGTCTTTTTGTCTAATTTGTGCATCTTGCGCATATCCCTCCCACAAAAACTAAACACGAAAACAACAAACAAACAAACAAAAAAAAAGGTTAACCTTAACCTAACCCAATCTACATGATTGTATCCTTTGGGGATTTGCATATATATATATTCACGAGGGTCTCAATGGGGTGGTACGCATCACGACTCACGGCTTCACGACTCACGACTAATTTTTTCGAATCAAGGTTAAGTAGATTACTTTAAGAAATTTTTGAAATACATTTTTCATAATTTGTTTTGTTCTATAGATAGTGAGTGTGGGAGCACAGTGTCCCCTGGCTTGTACGTTGTAACGGGCTTGTAAGTTATAGACACTCAGTTATTATAWTTTTTTATCATCACTCTCAAATGTCAAATTTTGTCCATGCCCAGACTTGTCTGCAGGACCTTGCAATTAGTACCTTGTTGGTAGGTGCGATCCATTAGAATTTTGAGGGGGTTTGGGTGGAAAAGTGAAAGATTTAGGGGAAACAATTCCTGAACGGCCCGAAGGGCGGAAAAAAATTCTTGCAAGGCAAAATTTTGAAATCTTCACTAAAGCTTATTTTTTTTTATTAAAAAAAAAATAAAAAAAATTACAAGCTCGCGCCTGGAGTTGACTGTTGTTYGCAACTATCCACTTGTAGCAGGCGTTCCTTGCGAGTCCTTTAAGCTGAAAAGAGAAAATCACTAGAAAAAAGAAAACGATTTGAAAACAGCAAAGAAAAAGACTAATAAAAAAAGAGCAAAAAAGAAAGATTTAAAGAAAACTAGAAACAAACGCAAAAGAAACAATATGCAAGCAAAAAAGAGAAATTCCAGCAKCAGGACTCGAACTCAGGACTTTCACTTCAGGAGCAGATGCACCCCCCCGGWATACATAAGAAATAATAAAAATAAAAATCTAAAAAGATGGGACGATTCCCCCGAGACATTCTATGAAGCTGAGGCGTCGAATCGGCTTACGTTACGGTTAGAGATTTCGGCTCTTCCACGCTATCCCGAGTGAACATAAAACTTWGTCTTAACCAAAAGGCCAGGGAGTGAGGGGGTAGCCGCCCACTAGAGCATACCTTTAGCTACCCTCTTAGACCATCGTACTATGAAGACACTTATAGATATATAATATCTAATTGGGGTAGTCTATTCGGTGAAGATCTATGCTAATATATGACGTCACCAAAATCCAAAGAGAGTAGCGAGCCAATCAGAGCTCAGCTCAGGAATTAGCAAACGATACTTTTCATAATTGATTCTTCAGTAGATTCATTATTTGACGAGGGTGGGGTGGGATGGGTGCTGAGTGGTAGTTTGCGGCCGAATACCGATGWTCAGTGTATTGTGACGGCTTTCACAAAGCTGTTCAATTGTCGTTATTAATCATCACATTTTAAATTTGAATTTTACAGTTCTTATATCAGAMAGGCATTACTAGTATTCGGATAAAAAACACGACAAAAATCTCTTGAAATTCTTAAGACAGATACTAGCTGTTGCCAAAGATTTGCCGGGATTCAACTAAACACAGTTAAGACCTCTGAAACTCCAACATTACACTCGAACGTTCCACATTTCGTTTACAAATGTATTAATATTAATTATCAAATAATTATTGAATATATAAACTAGTGAATACTAATAATCGAAGAGAATGAATGATAATCCGTATAAATCATATATAATCAAATTAAAAATTATTTTGACTCCCGGACATATAGTCTTTCTTAACATTCTGTCCGGGAGTTCGTCCATAGAAGAGAAAAATCTAAGTTTGTATACTATGGCGAGCGGCGAAGAAGCTTTAAATTGTTAACTGAATTTGGTCAAAAGGAAGACTATCTACACCTAAATACAGTAAAGTACCTTTGATGAGACTGGATTTACATTTTACTGTGATTTTTGTAGATTATTTTGACTCCCGRCCCATATAATTTTTGAAAAATCTCCACTAAAGCTTTTATCTTTTAAATTGGAGTTGACTGTCCTTCTGATGGACAAAACTGAATCACGGCTCACGCTATCAAAAAATATTCACGCCTCATGGTTAWTTTTTTTTYTCATTTTCACGACTAACGGCTAATTTTTCAGCCGTTTCACGGCTCACGGTTAACCCCATTGAGACCCTCATTCACTGGTCTCGATGCTGGTCATCGCGGATTTCTTTCCACTCGTGCTTCACGTCCCCTGCTAGCAGAGTCTTTCTCGGTAATGTTCCCGACGAASTACAACGGGTCCAACGGGAGAGACTGCTAGAAGGGAAACTGCCCTGAAGATCGAAGTGTACCAGAGTTTTATCTTTTCTATATAATTACATGACTGTTTAGCGAACGACTGCGCAACGGTTACTAGCAATTTTTATTGCAGAGAAAATTGCTTGGTAAAGAAAGATATATATATAGTGTAATTAAGATTCAATACAGCCTTTTGCAAAAATTATGAGAATTGTTGAAATATCTAAATATCATAATATCAAGTGCATGATCCCGCGCGATGGCCTTAGTCCCTTGTCTTTATTGTTTAGTTTTTTTGGAGACAGACTTATCCGTAGTTCTGAACATTTTCTCGATGTAAACAATGAATTATTCTAGTAAACCCTCGTGTTCAGGACAATATGTGGATATGGATATTATGATATTTAGATATTTAGACAATTCTCATAATTTTTGCAAAAGGCTGTATTTCACAGACATAGTCATGTACCCCAGAACAACTTGTAGAAAACAAATTAAGGTTCACGGATTACAAAGCATCGGCGCAAGTGATTATACACTATAAAATAACATTTGGAGTAATCATCGTTTTCTCACTTAGTCGGTCATCTTCAGGTTCGGTTTATTTAAAAGGTAGACCAAATAAATGCATAAAAAACAATGCAGTTCCATACCTGATCTTGACTTTGTATGTCAGATGCCAAGCTACAATTAGAAGAACACATGCGTCACGTGTTCAGCTGTTTGAATCAGTGTGTTTGCGGATTGTAAAGACAAAGCTCAGACAAAGCTTCTGTTGTGTTTGACGGCTCATTAGTCTTTTATGACGTCAGAACGAAAGTGACGTTTTTGTGTAATTAAACGTCACTGCGCGCTTGAATCCGATTTTAAGTCGTGACCACAGTGAGCCCAAGCAACAAATTTAGAAATGAGATTCTGACTTTTCAAAATGGTTTATTAATTATGAATGGGTTTTACTGCATATACATGCATATAGGCTCCCTGTGCTCGTTACGCCACTTACACTACAAGGTCCTACAATCTAGCTGGCATGTATCGTTAGTTGCCTTAACCGACTTTCTCATGACAAATCGAGTTTGATGACAAATCAGAAAATAAAAATAAGTTCTAACTAAAAAGAGGATGAGGGTTAACTGTAATTCACGCTTCTCAGCACCTTGAACGTTATGCAATCTCTGAACATTCAAGCCGAGACCGAGCGGCCCGAGTTCGGATGTACCTGTTGCAGGGGTGCGGATGGAACGAAAGAGTGCACTACTAGCCGGGCCAGCCTGTAGAAGCACGCTTTTCGTTTAAGTCACTTTCCGCGATAAACAATGAAAGTTATATTTTATTTATAACATCAATAATCATTGGAATCATCCGCGTTTGACTGCATTAACAAGTCAGCAAGCCTGTGCTTTGGTATTTCGGACCCTCTGACCTCTAAAGTATAACAAGCCCTTTCAACTTTGCGTAAACTTGCATTGAGAGTTCTCATCTTGGATATCAARTCTCGATTTACRTTGCCMAATGCMATTAAAYTRTCATGAACCTCACGYAAAAACTTGCAAACAGCAAAAGGAGTGACCGTATCACCRCGCGCTGCTGTGTTTATACCAAGGCGCATAAGTTCTCCAGTTAAATCWGCAATWCCAAGMACAAAGTCMACAGGGTTAAGCTTGAGGCATAGATTCTCTCCTTCATCTGTGAATTCTAGCTCTGATTGAACTTCTTTCAATGAAATCAAACATGAGTTTTTGAGATAGTGATAAAATGACAAAGCTTCGACGTACTCTTGGACACCAGGCGAGAATGCCCKRGCGAATCTGTATGGATCTTCGTTRATCAACTCCGAAGCTATTGCYTTWATGAACTGCTTAACTTCRAGAAGCTTCTTTTCGCCTTCTTTTAGTAAAATGTCCTTGTTCTCGGCACCTGGGACTCTATTTAACCAAAATATWATKCGYTTGCTRTGAATCGTCAAATCTCTACTGGATTTTACTATGCGTTCGTTCTTATCGTAGCGACTGTCCAGCTCCTTTTGGATTTCTCTGAAAGATGCAATAACCGGGGARTCTTCATCAACTTTGTTTTCATCTGTATTAGTGTTTCCAGAGTTTCCAGAATCTTSWAAATGCTGCCTTTTTCTTGGTCGTCTTGTCGCCATCTTGAATTTTCGACCATGTGCGACACAGGTATCCCAAAAATACTTTAYGTAAGGATAGCTATGATTGGTGCAAGAATTATCCAATCAAATTTATKATTACATTTTACCGCGCTCAATCAAAATGGTGTCTTGTTGAAAATCTCGCTCGATTTTCATTCTCGTTTGTGCCTTTTTATTAACTGTCAATAATGAAGAAATTGAAATTCAGTTGCGATTATTAGGTACAATAATGATCAAGACATGAGCTCTCGAGGTGGGAGAAATAATTCTTGGAGAGGAAGAGGACGTGGACGCGGTTTCAGGCGACGAGGTACAGTTGTACTTATAACTTGCCAGTGATCGCCAGTGAATGATTTTCGTGTGCTGCAGTATGAAACGTCCTCGTAGAAGCATTATTTTTATCCTATTTTTATTCTCTTTGAAGTTATTTTTGGTTATCAACTTGTCAATAAATCATGCATTGCAATAAAGATTGTTGTGCGTTTGATTTGCACGAAAATATCAGAAATATTAAACTTATGATATAGAAATGAAAGAAAGTTATAGTGCTTAGAAGGAGGCAATTCCGGGAGGAGTGTTTATCCTAGTGCCATGCGGTCTTCATATTCATATCTTTAGAAATATTATGATTTGCTTTGGAGTTCAGCTGCTCTTTTGGAGACATTCCTGTTTCCAAAACCTTAATTCTCTATTGTTTTATCTTTTGTTAAAGGTGGCAATAGATCTGGTAACAATAGTCAAACAAACAACAGACYACAAAACAGACGGCCAAGACAAGTGCAACAACCACTGACGCCATGTCCATATCGAAAATGGGACTGGTACTTTCCTGATGATGGTAAGAAGAAGAGAGTTCTGTTCTTATGAAGGTTGCAGCAGTAGTGCAGCTCATTTAGCTAGAGTACACGGAAGAAACTGTCGTTTAAAATTTTGGAGGAGGGAGGGGAGGGGAAGAGGAATGGGGGGGGGGGGGGTACGGTATCTTTTTAGTACACTGTTTACTTTAATTTGTTTCTATTGTCCAGATTATCACACTTTGACTATTAAATAGTGAAATGGAAATTCAAGCTTTTCAGTTAAAGAAACACTCTATCCAATGGGGTTAATGATTGATTGCATAGCCAGGAACACAGAAAAAATCAATAGCTAGTTATCTTATTGAATATTATTTATGAAATATGGGGTCCCCCTAGAATTTGTAAAATGTGATTATTGTTGTATATGTACTAGAGTACACTCCAGGATGCCTTTTTCTACCAAAGATTGAAGCCTTTAAGACTTATTTTGAGGAGCATTCTTCCCAGTTCTCTAAGGTAAATATTCATGGATCGTAGTAGCCTCCTTTGGAGGCAACTCTACTCCGTGGGATTTCTGTTTTAAGGCAATTCCTAATCTCTCGACACCAGTTCTTCTCGGTCAAGAATATGAACACAGGACGACCAAGAAGAGAAAAATGTCCGTTTACGATGGAGTAGCCTGCGAAGGAGGCTAGGATGGTATCTTTGATATCTTTGAATGAGGAAATGATCTGGATTATCATTACAAAAGACTTCTGATCTAGCCTATATTTGTTGCTGCGCTTTGTTATTTTGTTTAAAAATCTGAATTCAGGGCATTAAGTAGTACTTACATGGCATATTAAATTGTGTTATTTTAGGATGACATTGAGAGAATAGGATCAGTGACATTGGAATACGAAGATATTGTCTCAGATACTGGTAACACATCAAATAATATAGTGCATTTTATAGTAAATGACTGATTAAACATGATAATTTCTTTTTATAATTCAAGACTTTATATTTTACAGGAATAAACACTAGACTTCCTACATTTGCAACTGAACTTAGAGAAAACCCTGACAAGATTCTGCAATGTATTGGACTTGCCATTTACCAGGTATTGTCATGGAGTTTCTTCTCAGTCTTTGAATTCCCTACCACATTGCTATACTTCATCTTTACTTCCTATCATCCCTAAAAAAATATTTATAACCATTTTCACCTTTCCTGGTAGTGGTTTCAAGAATTTATTAGCCCAACTCTCATCCCTAGCCCTTTTGTCGCCTCTCTGCATCCTCTCCACTCCCTTCCTTCTTCCTTTTTAGCTTACTTCCATTCTTTTTCCCTGTCCATGTGTTCTTAAACATAATGACTATGATTATTGCACCGGTGTTAATAGGTCTTAACAGATATCGACACAGAAGTACCTGCTGCTGCTGTGTTTGACTTCCCATACATCCAAGCAAGGTTAGCACAGACCATGGCTCAAGCACTAATCATGTTGCATTGAAAATCCATGGTTTATTCTAGCATAGGACCATCCTTTTTTGTAAAAAAAGTGATTTTATTAGTACTGCGCATATAGAGTAATTCGTGTGATGGGTTTGTATCAAATTTGTTGGTACTTGACCTTATTGCATGGTGATATCCCAAAAAAAACATACCAATTCTTCTAAAAAAAATGGTCATACAAAAACTCTGGCTACAGCCCAGCTAAACCACAATTTGATAATTGCTTAACAATTAAAATTCCATTCCAGGATTATAAACTACAATTGTGTGACACCTTTGAAGAATCTTAAATCAAACTATTTTGGTAAGGTATTTGTTTGATTTTAAAATGAAGACATAATGTTTGCCTCACCGCAATGGGTGTGTCCTCTGCATGTGTTTACATTGTAGGGGTTTTCAATTATTCTTAAATGATTTGTCATTAGTCACAGTTCTTGTTGGTATATTTTAGCTAAGATATAAATAGTATTTGATAAATAGGTGTCAGAATCCAGCTTTTGGTACTGGGGGGGCATCCACTCCAGGGACCTTCCACCTTTTGATACTTTTCCCTGATTTGTCACTCCTGAATCAGTGACCTACACCCCTCCTTGAACATACCCCTGGACCCACCCTTCTCATATGGGACATACATATACACCCTTAAATAAGTCCCGAGGTATTGTGTTTTCCGCATTTGACCTCAAATTTATTCTTTTAGAATTTTTACAATACAAAAGGAATTCAAAAGAATAAATTTGACGTCAAGTGCAGAAAACACAATACCTCGGGACTTATTAAAAGGGTGTATAGCATACATAAGCTTATTTATTGTGCTATTTTTTAGGTAAGTTTGTTGCTATTCGTGGTACTGTAGTCCGTGTCAGTAATGTTAAACCATTGGTTGTGAATATGGCGTTTTCCTGTAATGCATGTGAATATTTACAGGTAGGTTGAACATGAAAGTTTTAACTTTTTTCCAAACAATGTTATCATTATAATAACTTTATAAATGAATTGTTATATGAGTTTATTAGAAGTTATGAATAATTTAATTATTATAAAATGCTACATCCATACAACTCTACATTCTCTACATTTAATTATATAACTAAATCAAGTCACGTGGTAAACTTGACATTAAATGTTAAGTTCTCTAACTACTGCCCACTAAAATGCAGTTAAAGTTTAATGAAGATTACTTTGTGCAAGAAGTGATGTACATTACATTTTCCATCCTCAGAGCATAAGATTACCTGATGGAAAATATCAAATACCAACAAAGGTAGAGTTTTGTTTKCAMCAKCATATTGTAACAGTWTTATTTTAACAAGCTGTCAGCCTAATGAAACARTCCTTCTTAAGTCAAAGAGACCTTTAACAGACCAAAGTCAAAATCAATTAAACATTTATTTTGATTTTATATTGAATAGTGTCCCTCTACAGAATGCAGCTGTAGGTTGTTTACACCTGAGCGTAGTTCATCCCTTACAACAACCACAGACTGGCAGACTATTAGGTACTTTATTCGAAAGTCTTAATTATATCGTTTTGTAACAATAAAGGTATTTTCCAAAACATCTGAATTTGCAACACTAATCTTCATGCATACATCAGGTGCATTCTGGGTAAATTTTTAATCCCATCTCACTTCACCTTTCGAGTAAGTAGTTTGTAGTATAAAGGACACTTTTCAAGCACGGGCTGGGGACAGTAGGGGCTTGGGAATGAGACAGGCACCCTTCAATCAAGTAGTGCTTGGTTGTGTAAAGGGTAACCYGAGTATCACAAATAGGATGCCTTTCAATCAGGGACTTGGGAATGAAAAGGGYACCTTTCAAGCAAGGGCTTGGGAGAGTAAAGGGGACTTTTCAAGCATTTCCATAAATAAAGSAGATTACATAAAGTCCCATATAATAACTATTCTTCTAAGACGCTTGTTCACATTTGGTTAAACAATTTTCTATCCTTAAATAATTAGAATCCAGGAAATCATGGATGATAACCTAAGAGAGGCAGGGAGAATTCCTAGAACTGTGGAATGCGAACTTACTGCTGATTTAGGTATAAACTATTGTACAATTCAAGCTAAATTAATAATGGATAGAGACTGTAATTACAGTGCTACTTACTGATGTCTAATGTGCCTGTATTGTAGAGCTGTCTATAATCCCCAGTTGTCTCTTAAAATGTTTTTCTTATTTTTCAATTGATGGCTTTCATGTGTGAAACAGGAGAGAATGAATGGAGTTGAGTCTCACAGTCTATTTTTACACATTTTAGTAAATCAAACATTATAAAAATTGATTAAAATAATTAAATAATTGTGTCTTCAAAAAAAAAATGCATGGTAGACTTGTGGCAAGTCTTGCTGTTCATCTCATGAAGGCAGAGCTACCTTTCATAATGGCACAGGGAACCTGGAGGAGACTTCTGTAATATTTCATAAACTTGCATCTAGACAACAAGAGGCCGTTATGCATGAGCATGYGCGCAACCGCTGCGTTATAACGACCATGGGCTCTAGAATACGGGTAGAATAACATTGTAGTAGCTGCRGAAGCTTCGATTCTGAACATAATYGATGTTTTTACTTATCTTCCACATTTTTCCAAACAAAACCAAGTAGATATATTTACAATGCACACGAATATCTTTCAAACTTTATATAAATTACTGTGAGTCTCTCGCTGTGAATTTCTCGCTTGAAGTAAATCACTAATGAATTTCAATGAATTTTCAACAGACYGGCGCATGCRCACGCCAAAMGGCCCCTTGTTCATCTACTAGACGACTTAACGTGTTTTCATTCAWATTTCAGTTGATAGCTGTGTACCAGGAGATGTTGTGACAGTGACAGGCATAGTGAAGGTTACAAACTCTGAAGAACGTATGTATCACTCAGATATTTTGRAATTTATTTTAAAATTATTATAGCACAGCCTTATAGCTTTATTGAAACATACTCACATACTATTATGGGATCATTGAATACCAATACCCTCATCACCATACTGAMATTTTGGGAAAAGCAACCAGGGCTGAATCAGAAATTTGTCATGGGGTTGTCCCAATTAAACAGTGATCCATAGAAAAATAAATAACATATAACAACTACTATAACCCTAAGTAAATGTGCACAATATTATTTATACTCATTATAAGGTACATGTATATTGTACATGTCAGGGGCTTTTTGGGTGTCTGGTGCACCAATGGATACCTCCATTTTCAAACCTAGCAAGCAGTATATCATTATGTCAAACATATTGTCAATTGTTTTCCACAGATCGTAATAAGTACAACAAAGACAAGTGTATGTTCYTGTTATATGTACATGCTAATGCAGTCAATAACAACAAAGGCAGTTCTAACAATAGTGAGCCTGATAATGCTGTTTCTATGGARTTTACTCTCAAGGTATTTGTTATTTCCTTATAATAACATTGATTGATTAATTGTGTGGTGGGTGGGTGGGTGGGTGGGTTAGTGGCTTCGTTATTTAATTATTGATTGAATGTTCCACTTTCTTGACAGGAACTCTATGCAATCCAAGAAATACAATCGGAAAAGAATTTATTCAAACTCATTGTTGGGTACAGTCATCATTTTTATCCTATATGTGTTTTTGACCCTGGCTTTATACCAATTCTTATGATTGCAGCTCCCTCTGTCCTTCCATATATGGTCATGAGGTTGGTCAATTGTTTAATTTGATTACGCAATGAAAACCTTTTTTTTATTAGAAATTGTTTGATAATAATTGCCTTATTATTGGTTACTTATATGCTATTGTTAAATTATTCATTCATTTTCTATTTTTTAATTAATCTATTAATGTATTTGTCTTTTTTTCTAGTTGGTTAAGGCAGGCTTAGTGCTTGGTTTAATAGGAGGGACTCAGAGATACATCAATGACAAGGTCAAGGCTTGTTTACATAAGCAATCTTGTTGTGCGACATGATCTACAACTTTTGCGTCGATTTTATTGCACAAGTGAACAGCCTGCAATTTCACGGTGATTTCATATACACAAGTTCAAGTAAAAACCGCGGCGATTTGCGATAAAATTTCGAGCTTGTTCGAATTTTCTGTCATCAACCTGCGACCTGTCGCCGTTAAATCGCCGTGAATTTGCAGACTGCGATTTAGGTTTGAGATAAAATCGCCATATCACTTGCCGCGCGACAAATTTGATAGTGTAATGTAGGCTTTATATTTGTCTATGTTTTCTGAACGCGTTTGACTTTTTCCTATGTTGTTATACAGAACAGAATACCTGTCAGGGGAAACCCCCATGTTCTTGTTGTTGGTGATCCAGGCTTAGGGAAAAGCCAGGTAGAGTGATATTTTTTGTGTCTTATATAGCTATTTCAAAAAAGGTTGTCGGGTAAAATGGCGATTGTCAATGGTCGAACGGCGATTGCACGACCGAAAGTAACCATGGGTTTTGCTAGTTGAAAGGCAATAACAACTGATTTGTAATGTAAGGTGGTGTGTGGTTAACATTGGCCCCATATATTCACCATTTCTCTGCAAGGTGAATCCAATAAGTGAAATTCTGTATATCAAAACAGTGTAACCATAGTCCCTTTCGGTCGTGCAATATTCCCTTCGACAATCGCCGTTCACCGTTCTCCCCGACAACGTTTTTTGAAATAGCTGTATACATCTAGTTATCAATGCTCTTATTACTAACCAATCATTTTATTGTAGATGCTGCAAGCTGTATCTAATGTAGCACCGCGTGGTGTGTATGTATGTGGKAATACTACATCGACTACTGGCTTGACGGTAAGTTTACTCTCCTCTCGCAGCCGTTATGACGCTCTTTCCCTGGTCTCTCTCCCCTATAGGGGAAGGCTCATAACGGCGTTGAGAGGAGACTACGGTAGGTTAGTCATTAGTCAGTTTGTCGTTTCAAAATAGCACCCAGTGGTTTTGATTGACAGAGGTCTATTGATTCTGTACGTTGTGGTAAGCTTGTAGCAATCCATCGCGAAAACTTTGCAGTGAAATATTCCAATTTTAGCTTTTTGGTTCGTCACTAAGTTCACTGGAAGTACATATCTGTTTTATTGTATCATGGAACAGGTATCTTAGTAGATAGATTGACTGACTGGCTGAATTAATGACTGACTCACTGCCTGAATGACTAACTAACTTATTGATTGATGGATTGATTGACTGGTTGATTGATTGATTGAATAAGTGAGTGAGTGAATGATTGAGGCCAAGTTCATACGTCGAGCCAGCGTCGCTCCAAACCAAAATAGTCAATAATTAAACCCTTTTAGCGATCTCTTTTATGCTGTCTTACCCTCAAAACCATGTAATAAATTCTTCTATGYAGCAAGAGCTCGTACAAATGCAAGAGATCTGTGAGCATAGAAGACAATAGAATAGTTTGAAATTTCACGGCTTTTATCAAAATGTCTGAATATTTTGCACTTAATTGAGGCTAACACAGCGTAATTCAAATATTGGTGTCGACCCAAATACATTCGGTACGGCGTTGATTCATACGTCAAACCAAATACAGTTGAAAACATAAGAAAAAATCCAATTTCCATATAATATTAATCTCGAAAAAGGATATTTTTGTGCGTTAAGTTATGAGTTATTTGGTCAATCAATCAAGTGATTTGCTTTTCTACTTGTGATGACAAATGAAACCGTAATGTAATCCATATGGTTCACTTCAGGTTACTCTAAGCAAAGATGGGTCATCAGGTGACTATGCTCTTGAGGCTGGTGCTTTRGTACTCGGGGATCAAGGTAATTCACAATACTCCAGTTTCGAATTCTCCAATGCTCTGTGTTAGCCTCATTTGTGCGCAAATATTCTTTATTGTGAGCATAAAAGTGTGAGATTTCAAATCAAATTTATTGCCTTMCTTCACAAATTCCATGCGTTTTCTCGAGCTATCAATGAAACAAGAGAATATGTTACCTGTACTTGATTTTGATGCTAACACAGAGCAAACCAGAACTCAAAATTGGAGTATTACGCCATTTTGAYTTACTTCTGCTGACATTCAGGTTTCACTTCTTTGAACTGTCTCGGGCATTGGCTTCCTTCTCAGACTCTTCTTACTATAACGAACATATTTTCATATTATAAGAATTAATAATATTATAAGAATGGCTGCTAGTTTTGAATAAGTATTAACTAAAGTAATAATTTAATATGAGTAATTTAATTAATTCCGTCGTAAATTAAATCTGAAAAGGCCTTGTCGGAAGAATTAGTAAACTTATTGTATTGTATCGTAAGAGCGCTCAGTATGTGTTTTCGTATATTTTTAGTGGTCCATACATTTATCAGCAAGTTCATTCCTTCTCTTCGTACAGGTTGCTGTTGTATTGATGAATTTGATAAGATGGGTAACCAGCACCAAGCTTTACTAGAAGCCATGGTAATATCCTTTTCCTATATTGATGTTCCATAATAAACATTTAACTCATGACTGTATTTTTATGCCAGGAACAACAAAGTATAAGTATAGCTAAGGCTGGTATCGTGTGTAGGTAAGAGCTCTGGTTATCAAAGATGACTTCTTTACATGATGAATAGACTTCTGGATCTTTACGCCACTACTTGATTTTCAGTGCATTGTGGGATGAGTTTCTTGAGAAAACAAAAGAAATCCGCCATGTTCTATCCCAAGCCTACCCTACAATGCATTGCGTATACGGTACATGACGTAAAGGTTTTTACGTCACTACTTAATTTTCAATGCATTGTGGARACAGTTTCTAGAGAAAACAAAAGAAATCCGTCATGTTCTGTCCCAAACATATCTTACAATGCATTGCGTCTAGGTTCATGGCGTAAAAGCTTCAGAGGTCTATTGTCAGTTAGGGTCTTCCTTTGAGTGCTAATGTTTGGTCTTTCCTCCTCCGCTTGGCGAGCTGTTTGAAATAAGTTTATTTGTAAAGCCTCTCGAGCAAAGAACCAAAATTCTTCGTTTTTACTATACGTCACAGCGGCCATCTTGGAGGAACTTCAACAAAGGAACTCTCATTAGTAACTATTGTYCATTCCTCCAACATGGCCGCCGGTCTTTTATCTTTTAATTTTATGGGAATAGTTAAAAACGATCATTTGGCTGGTCACCAAACACTGTTCGTATACCTAACGACCCGACAGTTCGTTTATCGAGCTTGTCGTTTGTCTGTCTGTCCGATACTGAAAATACAAATATGCCTTATTTAGTTTACCTGCTCGGACGTCAATCATCGCTGCAGCCAATCCTGTTGGAGGACACTACAACAAGGCTAAAACGGTCTCTGAGAATCTCAAGTAGGTGGACTTATATTTTAATAAAGTACCCAATCCCTATGGTAATTTCAATTGATTTTCTTTTCTTTCTCAGAATGGGCAGTGCGCTTTTGTCAAGGTTTGACCTTGTAAGTACTTTTTTCTGTCTCGGGCTCTCACATAAGAGGCCTTCTTTCCTATGCAAATTTTCTACCTGCTTTTCCCTCTTTAGTACTTTCTGGTTTATGATGTTGTTTTTCTGTTTTTTTTCCTACTTTCCTACTTTTATTCTCACCATCCTTAATTTTTTTTATTTCTGTTTGATTTATATATATAGAATAAAATCTACGGCTTCGTCAGATAACGGCCACCTGCTTGCGTATTTCCTCATGTTGCATTGCCGCTCATAATAGAAATATACTTAATATTAGTTAATTTTATCTTTTATAGGCTTTCATCCTGCTTGACAAGCCAGATGAGGTAAGTTTTTTTCCCAAAATGAGTCATTAACAGTGAGACCCCTCGCATCGTGACTTTGAATTTCGGTTGGATTTTTATTCTGTGACTTTGGAAGCAAAGTTTCAAAGCCCGAATCCTTCAAACTAACTTAAAACSTCCAGTGCGCGAGTACGGGACTTATGGACTATCAAATTATTGTCTTATTCTTTAATGTCATAAAGTTAGATACAAAGAAAAAAAAATCAAGTACATGTAGTTAATCAAGTATTCGATCATCAATTTTCTTGTGTTCTCTTTCATAAGGAAATGGACTGCATGTTAACAGAACACGTGATGGCATTGCATGCTGGGAAGAAAAGGTGATTTTCCAATAGCGGTTTTGTTCTTGTGTTTCTGAAGATCATTATATATTTACTACGAATTTATTCTTCAGTGCTTTTGGTACAGCTACAGCCAGACGACCTGCTGAAGTAAGTGTTTTAGACATATATTAAGTACTACTAACTATATTCTAAGTATGGAACCATATGAGCAGGAATCTCCTGAGAAATAAAGAACAAAGCTTTTGCCGCCATGTTGGATGAATGAACAATAGAAACTAATGAGGAATGCTTTGTGATTTCCATCCAACATGGCGGTGATGACGTAACATGGCGGTGATGACGTAACATGCAAGCCTAGAATAGGCAATATACAGCGACGCCATTTTGTGTAACAAATTATGATAGGAATTGTAGTCCTCGAGCTTTTTCATATTCGCTAAAAGCAGTCATCAAAAGTCGTTTTCGCGTTTCATCTGCAGAAATAGAAGCAGATTTGCCGTTTTTACAAATAGAAAATAAATAAAAAAATACACAATTCAATCAAGTGGATTTTACACTAGACTTAGAAATTTGCGGTTTTTGTATATCATAAATATACCGATTGCTCAAGCAGAATTCAAACAATTCCACTTTACTGTTCACAGGGTTCAAGCGGTGAAGATGAAGACGAGGCAAGAAGACAATGGGAGGCTGACAAACCACTGTCTGAGCAGCTTAAGGTTTCTATCAGTTGATGTGAAATTACCTTTCATTTGAGCTAATTAGCAGGAATAAAACTAAAAATGTGATATTTTAGGTCAGTGCAAATGAGCCATTTGATCCAATTCCAGCGCAACTCCTACGTAAGGTAAGACTTGATAAATGTTTTTACTCTTCCTTCCTTTTTTTGTCCTCTTTTTTTTCTTTTTTTTTTTTGTACGTCTATTTGGACTTCGTATTGTAATCTTCCCCGAAATTATTATCGTTACTTTTGTATTCATAGATTTCCTCATACATTTGCCGCGCATTGGTCGTTTTCAACCATTCCAATGAAATTCAAAAGATAAAAGACCGGCGGCCATGTTGGATGAATGGACAATAGATACTAATGAGAAATCCTTAGTTGAAGTTCTTCCAAGATGGCCGCTTTGACATATAGTGAAAACAGAGAATTGCAAAGTTCCACGCGGTCATAATAATCATCAGACTTAGTTATAAATGATCTTATTTTGTGATTTTCTGTTTCATGCGTTATGGGGTAGAATTATCTGTGTACATATATAGATAATATTGACGTCTACAAAATCATGTGTCATTCGATAATAATATTGTAATACTTCCATGATTTTAGTACATTGGATATGCCAGAAAGTACGTTCACCCTAAGCTAACACAGTCAGCGGCCAAAGTACTACAGGTAATCCAGTAATAGTCGACTTCCAATTTTTTTTTCAGTTGCCCAACACAAAAAAATCRGCGCAATAGTTTTAAAACGAAAAACTTGTAGTTACATGCCTCATACTTGACAATAACCTTGCATTGCATTTCCTCTTTTATGGGTGACTTGCCTATATATAGTCGATTGACAAAAGGTTCGTGGCACGCGAGCCGACCCGAACAGGTTTCTCAGGTTTCTGGGTAAAAAGCCGGTCGACGAAAACCTTTTTTCAATCGACTATACACAGCTTCTCGTCTTCATTCCTTTGGGTGCGAAATAGTCTCTCCTAACCCGAGAGCCAGTTACCAGACTAGACTAAACACAGATGAATTTGTTTGCTTTTACCAGGAGTTCTATCTTTCACTGAGGCGCCAGTATCAAGCAGGTGACTCGACACCCATCACAACCAGACAGCTCGAGTCTCTGATTAGATTGACTGAGGTATGAACACAGAAGACCTGAACCAAGTTTTTCAAAGCTCAATGCTTGACATGTTTGGAAAACAAAGAAACAAACAAAAAATGTACTGCAGTTTCCAGCCCTATGTGATTTCATTAATCCCATAGTGCATTTCGATGATCATTGCATAACGTCACGAGAAAAATTGCATCATCACCCCCCTGCACTGTAAATGCCAAATGTATTGTTTGCTACAGGCTCGTGCTCGTCTAGAATTACGAGAGAAAGCCACCCATCAAGACGCAGAGGACGTGATTGAAATCATGAAGCACAGTCTCGTCGACACGTTCAGCGACAACCTAGGCTTTCTTGACTTCCAGCGATCCCAACATGGCTCAGGGATGAGCTCTAAAGCAATGGTCAGGAACGATTTGATGATAATTTAAGCCAATTGAAGTTGGCGCATTTATATCCATATTTCGCTATGACGTGACAGCATGGGAGCGGAATCGCTCAAAAATCACTGAAAAAAAATTGCGCACTGATTTAAAAGGTAAAAGATTGTAAATTTGATGTAAATATGATTTAAGTGTCCAAAATGATGTAAAGTTGATGTAAAACATTTTCAGTCATTTTGGACACTTACATCATATTTACATCAAATTTACAACCTTTAAAGGCCGATTTAAACGACACAACATTTGCTTACAACCATCGCATGCAACCTGCGTAAGTCATCCTTACGACATGGCTAAAACTGTCATAGGGACTTTAAACAATTGCTTTATAGTCTCACGACAGTTGTAGCCATGTCGTGAGGATGACTTACACAGGTCGCATGCGATGGCTGTAGGGAAAAGTTGTGTCGTCTAAATCGGCCTTAAAAGTGCGCGATTTTTTCCAGTGAACACTAGTAATTTGTACTGAATCTACTTCTTTGTAGTTTCAAGATGTGTGTCAATAATTCCCGTCGAGTTTTATTGTGTTGTRTCTATCCTATCTATAAATCTTTTGCCTAAAAATAATAATGTTTTGACGCAATTTATTTTTATTAATTCCAGGGAAAGAGATTTATTGCCGAGCTAGGAAGAATAGCTGACAGGGAATACAATTCACTGTTTACAATCGACCAAATGAGAAGGATAGCAGTGGTAATTTTATAGTTACATAATGCAATCTTCATATCACACTAAAATCTTCATATCACACTAAACAATAATTCTTGTCATATCACACTAAACCCCAATCAATAGTTTATTTATATCACATCAATCCCTAAGCGATATTTCTTCATATCACACTTAACCCTGAGCAATAATTCTTCATATCACACCAAACCTAAGCAATAGTTTTTCATATCACATCAAACCCTAAGCAATATTTCTTCATATCACACTTGACCCTAAGCAATGATTCTTCATATCACACAAATCCCAAGCAATAATTCTTCATATCACACTAGCCCTAAGCAATAGTTTTTCGTATCACACCAAACCCAAGCAATAGTTTTTCGTATCACACCAAACCCAAGCAATAGTTTTTCATATCATACTTAACCCTAGGCAATAATTGTTAATATATACCATCATTTGCTTAACGTTTTAAGACCTACAATAATCATCCTAATTCTGCTTAGATTTAGGGTAGATAATCGCGAATTCGGCCATCGTGAAATCTTCATGCCACATTCGGCCTTAACCAAAATATAATTGCTTAACGTTTGAAGAACTACATTGACAAATGCACAATAATTCAAAACTCGCCGGCTTGTCCTTTTATTTATCCCTCTTCTTTCTTCTCGCCAGGACCTTGGATTAAAGATTCGTAGTTTCGACGACTTCATCTACTCTCTCAACAACCAGGGGTTCCTACTGAAAAAGGGAGCTCGCGTCTATCAGTTACAAATTGCTAGTTGTCTATAGACTCTCACCCATTTTATACACAGACGATTCTAATCTGAAACGCGTGACTATAGACTCTCACCTGTTTTATCCACAGACGATTCTAATCTGAAACGCGTGACTATAGACTCTYACCCATTTGATACACAAACGGACGATTCTAGTCTGAAACGCGTGTCTACAGAGTCGCACCAATTTTATATATAGAAGATTCTTGTCTGAACGCTTCTTATACAACGTTGTCAATGCTTGCGGAATATTCCATGATTGTACTTGAAAAAGTACTTAAAGATATACATATAACATAAAGAAGTGTTGTTTTTTTATTTTTTATTTTTCACATATTCACAACAGTCCCCTACACTTTTACCATTTTATATTTAAGATGTCTTTGAGATTGCGAAGATTGTCTCTTTTTGTTTCCATCGATCTTTTTCTTTTACAATCATTTCGGCATCCATTAACTTCCGAGGTGCATTTCATGCAAACTTCAAACGATGAGCACTGGGAGTTACATGATGTGAAATGGGCACCGCATTTCGCCAAACAGACTTCTGAGCCCGCGACCATTCTGTACGTTACGAATCCAAAAATGTATGCGCAAAGCATTAACAGACTTGTACTTCTCATGGTAAATCTGCAAAGGAAAACAAAAGGACAAATATTAACGAATCCACAATGACTTTACCACCATAACATCATATTCGTGTATTAAATCTACTTGCAAAAACTTCAAGGGACTGTTACATAAATCAGTGTGCAAATATACTAAAAAAGTTTGTCAACAAGAGTCATTTTGATTCTGCAATCTGTTGCCTGTTTAAGTATGTATTCGGATATCCCATAATGTGTTATTCAACATGGCCTCCATTGTGACTGAACAATGGCTGTCAATTGCGAGGTACATGTCAGTGGTTTTTGAACAACAGCATTTTTGGCGTTTTTATTAACATAATGAAMAAATCATAATCAATAGTGCGGTGCGTAAGRCCWAATCAGACGGCACAACTTTTGCCTACAACCATGATCGCATGCGACCTGCGTAAGTCATCCTCACAACATGGCTAGAACTCCCGTGGGGRTCTAAAACAATTGCTTAATAGCTCCAMGACAGTTGTAGCCATGTTTTAAGGATGACTTCCGCAGGTTGCATGCGATGGTTGTTTTGTCGTCTRATTTGGCCTTGAGMATTGTGACTGGAGATGACCATTGAGTTTGCAATCGAATCACTTTGCAAGAATAGCGTTTATATTTTCTMTGTAGATACGTTGTGATTTACTTCTCCCCTTTTTGACTTATTTTTCTTTAATTTTCTTCCATTTCGTACATATAGCAGGTTATGTTTGAACGTTTACAGTATATTGTATAGTATATTTTCAAGTATATATAAAATATATCAGAAACTATGGCATATCATCGCCAATATTTTTTTCAGAAAGTGATAGTGCTAGGCAACTTCACAAAAAATATTGGCGATGACATCCCGTAATTTCTGATATATTCTATATATACTTTGAATATGAGTCAAAATGATCATAATTTCTGCATATTGCTGTACAAAGAGTAAATTTAGTATGAATGCAATCGCACGGATCGCGTTGCGAACACGGCGGCACGGCCACTGAACCTGACGCATTGGCATTGAGTTGAGAAAATACCACATCAACATTGGTAAAGCGTTCAGTTATGGTACCAGGGTACCGTAGTTTTAACAAATACGAACTCTGCTCTAATACTCCAGTTTCGAATTCAAAGCGAATAACCGCTGTTTTACTTGACAGCAGATTCTATTACGCAAAGAACTTACCAAAGACAAAAGAAAGTACGAGAAAATGTTGTTAATACAATAGCGCTAAGAATCTACATTTTCCCCGAGTTGAGGCTAACCCTGCTCATACCTTATGTCTTACAGGAATACAGGGATAATCTCAACTCGAGGAAAATGCAAATTTTCAAGTCTATTGTAATAACGACATTTTCTCGTGCTCTCTTTTGTGTTTGTAAGGTCTTTGCGCAAGAGAATCTGTTGTCACATAAAGCAGCGGTTATTCGCTATGAATTCGAAACTGGAGTATTCAAAATTTTCGAAAGACATGTGAGCGCACGAAAATCGATGTTTTCGCGTTCCGCAGCTAMACAACCATCACTCAACGATTCGATCTCTCTCACCTCGCAATCCTCCACCGTCTATTTCAAGTCTCGTCTTGTTATTGTGCGTTCTGTTTGGAACTGCTCAGTTTGCCTTAATACCATTAACAGAAATCGTTTCGYTCATCAATACAAATGATCTATTTCGGACTACATTTCCTAAAATTACGCTCATATAAATATGGAATTACCTACTCTATATTTACACAGAAATCAGTGTGACAAAATCAATTGCCTCAAACGACTGATGCAAAAGCTATTTCGGTCTGCATTTCCTAAAATTAGACACGTAAATAATCGATGGAAGTATATCTAACACCTCTTAACAGGGCCGTTTAGCCCTGAGCTAAAACGTTAAAGAGAACTTAMGTTACTCAAGAAAAATAATATGGAAAAGAATGACAACAGACGCATTTGGTAATTGCTCAGAAATATAATAGTCACAACATTGCTAGTTTATCGATTACGTAAAATTACTTAAGAATTTCACCACGCAATGTYTGTGCATTCCACTGTCTCTTTTTTAATAGCTTAGTGACATTTTCTGTCTAGCATTTATTACAGTTTTCTTTTCTGAAAAAACAAAACAAACAAAAAACATTTCGCGGTCGGTTTAGTTACCGTTTTCGGTAATTTCACGAAAGCAAAAACACATGAAAAAGGCGCGGTTTTGAAAAGATCCAGATTCTTATAAACCCAGCTATGATAACTTTGACATTGGCGGCCCCTTTAAGCAGCCGATAGCAATAGTTTAKTTCCGTAATCTTTTCGATAAAATTCTTTGTTGAATAAGGGAACATTGTGGGAGGATCTTGACGTCATCATTTTTTGTGTGTTTCTAAAAAATATACAAAATCGTACATATATGTAATTTCAACTGTCGAACGAAATTATGTGCCGAGATCAGTGAAAATTACGTAGAAACTGCCATAACCTCCGTTTTATATTTTTTTAACTCTCTCCATTGCATAGATATCGATGAAATATCATCAGGTTTTCCGGCTCTAATGTTGAAWTAAACTTACTATTTTCTACAAGTGGAAGTTATCAAATCTCTCAAACATGCACATGTGAAGATATCGCTGTTTGGTATGAATTTGGCTTGCTAAATTCCAAGGAAAAGGCCATGATTCATCACATTTCAAAGCTGTCGTGTTATAGATTTTCATGTACGAAAACTGTAAGATGAGGTGACTTCGAATAACACAATCCGTTTCCATCCGTCGCTTTTTAAGGTCGAATCGTACAATATCTCCATTCATGGAGCATAAAGGGATACTTATAAAGAGTAAGTTTTACGATGCATTTTTATTTTCAAACTAAAAAGGCCAAGATCTCCAAAGGGATGCAGTTGCTCTATTGCCATTAAATAAAGAATTTTCGAACTTTTGCTTTTTTTAGTGGTGTCGATATCTATAAGCGTTTACTCGTGAGATATTCACTGGACACTCGAAGATGAAATCCATATCTCCGCGTGCCCATGGAATATGCTTTTTTAAGTAAGGAGTTTATCATATAATGCAGCTCAAAAAGATTGGGCACTTTAGAAAGAAAGTCAACAACAAAGTCGTTGAGATATCTCAAATTTTATCGGCTCTCTACCTTGCAGTTTATATCATTCTACAGATATTACACGAATTTAAGACATCATACTGATATTGTAGCTATTTTAGAAAAGGTTGCTGGAGAGAAAGGTGATTTGCAATTGTAAATGAGATTGCGCAGACAAACAAAGCTATAAGATATATAAAATGAGTTATTTTAAAGTGTATAAAATCTATTTTCAATGTGAATATTGCTTTGATTAAACCAACACAATCTCTTACAAAGAACTATACAGTAGTTCACAGTTTAACATTCTCAACTGATCGTCTTTCTAGTCGTTCGCTCCGTGAACTTTTTATCTGGAATAAAGTTATGATATATTCTAATAGTGTGTTCGGCTTTTTGGGTGACCAATACCAATAAAAAACCCATACCACATACTTCCGATTAACATAAAGTATTACTAAAGGATAGGATTTGTGCGAAGCAACGCAATACCACAGTGGAAATGCATTGAAATTACGCTATTTTTAGAGCATACTATATGAGAACGATCCTAACACCTTTTTTACATCCGCTAAGTTAAAAAACAAAACAAAAACCCCTTCACGGTTTTGATCCGATCCGATCTTATCCGATTGGTTTACTAGCTATTTGTTCAAAGAAAATAAATAATAAAAGAAACAATTTTTCGAGGATTTAAGAACGAGGAAACAATGAGCATTGTTTTATTCCTCCAATCACAAGAAACCTTAGAAATTCGTCTTGAAGAATAACAGAGTAAAGAACTTTCGGTGGATTATTTCAGAGATAAATCCCATCATGCTCTGTTCTAGAAAATGGCGTCGCCACAGGTTGCCAATCAACATTTCTTCCTCTCGCAGTGACTTTTATCAGTTTAGCAAACACTGCAGTAATACCATTGCAATGCTAATATCAAGGTAAATTGAAATAGGTGTAAACAACTTTCAATTAACATTGGGAAATTGTCAATTTTCGACTTATTTGATCGGATACCTTAGCTCATTACATCCCAGGGTCAAAATAGTATTGAAACATTGGAGAAGAATAAGCGAAAGAACTTAGTGTTAATACTCTAAACGTGTATGGGGCATTCTAGTCATCACGCAATATTCTACGTCGACATTAAATCAAACTTAATTTCACTAATAAAAGAATGTTTTTAAGTCAGTGTCAGTTGTACATCAGTTACGTATGCGGAAAGTACGGACTCGCGGACTTACTTACGCTGTGGACGTTACTTAAACATTTAATAACAATGAACCTAATAATATATTCGCATAACTTTTGTAATTTATTCAAACCTTAGCCATTCAGTTGTATCCACTGATGAAGCCTGAAAAGGCGAAACGTCTGGAATAAAGTTATCGACTTTATATGCCTTAAGAATTATTTCCCCAAAATTATATTACTTACGCTGTATAATATTAAACGTTAGTGGTTTATTCGTGTCCATTAGCTACAAATCAGTTACGTACGTTAACAATTTAGGGCGAATTTGAGATTTCAGCCAACCTTGTTGATAAAGTTAGTGGTTCCGTTAGTTACACATCAGTTATGTACATTCTGAAGAATTTGGGGCGAAGTTGATCTTTCTAGCTTGCGATGGACTTATTTACTCTATACGAAAACGTTAGTGGTTCCGTGGTTACATATCAGTTACGTACGTTAACAATTACGGACGAGGCAACGGAGTTGTGGACACTGGTCTTACGTTATGCGAGAACGTTAACGGTTCCGTGACTATTAAAGGACGTTCTTGGAGAATACTTTATTTTACACTTAGCATGTAGGAAGAGGAGAAATTAAGTGTAATTATTCGCTACCGTTTACTACACACACACTATTTCTATTCGATCAAATCGATAATTTCCATATTATGATCGTGTACTGCGCTGTGAATGATCATTTCCGGTACGGTAT